TGTGTGTGTGTGTGTGTGTGTGTGTGTGTGTGTGTGTGTGTGTGTGTGTGTGTGTGTGTGTGTGTGTGTGTTGTTTCAGAAGAGAGGAAGTTGTGTTTTGGGTGCTGACATTTGTTCTTCCTGTTAGTCAGTGAAGGGGTCCCTGTGGTCCATTTATGTTCACTGTTTGATATGATCTCAACTCCAGTCTGGTTTACAATGGTCCAGACTGGTTCAGGTCCAGTTTACAATGGTCCAGACTGGTTCAGGTCTGGTTTACAATGGTCCAGACTGGTTCAGGTCTGGTTTATAATGGTCCAGACTGGTTCAGGTCAGTTTACAATGGTCCAGACTGGTTCAGGTCCAGTTTACAATGGTCCAGACTGGTTCAGGTCCGGTTTACAATGGTCCAGACTGGTTCAGGTCTGGTTTACAATGGTCCAGACTGGTTCAGGTCCAGTTTTTAATTGTCCAGACTGGTTCAGGTCAGTTTACAATGGTCCAGACTGGTTCAGGTCCGGTTTACAATGGTCCAGACTGGTTCAGGTCCAGTTTACAATGGTCCAGACTGGTTCAGGTAAGTTTACAATGGTCCAGACTGGTTTAGGTCCAGTTTACAATGGTCCAGACTGGTTCAGGTCCAGTGTACAATGGTCCAGACTGGTTCAGGTCAGATTACAATGGTCCAGACTGGTCAGGTCCTGTTTACAATGGTCCAGTCTGATTCAGGTCAGTTTACAATGGTCCAGACTGGTTCAGGCCAGTTTACAATGGTCCAGTCTGATTAAGGTCAGTTTACAATGGTCCAGACTGGTTCAGGTCCTGTTTACAATGGTCCAGTCTGGTCCTGTTTACAATGGTCCTGTCTGATTCAGGTCAGTTTACAATGGTCCAGTCTGATTCAGGTCAGTTTACAATGGTCCAGACTGGTTCAGGTCCAGTGTACAATGGTCCAGACTGGTTCAGGTCAGTTTACAATGGTCCAGACTGGTTCAGGTCCGGTTTACAATGGTCCAGACTGGTTCAGGTCCGGTTTATAATGGTCCAGTCTGATTCAGGTCAGTTTACAATGGTCCAGACTAGTTCAGGTCCGTTTTACAATGGTCCAGACTGGTTCAGGTCCGGTTTACAATGGTCCAGACTGGTTCAGGTCCGGTTTACAATGGTCCAGACTGGTTCAGGTCAGTTTACAATGGTCCAGACTGGTCAGGTCCGGTTTACAATGGTCCAGTCTGATTCAGGTCAGTTTACAATGGTCCAGACTGGTTCAGGTCAGTTTACTATGGTCCAGACTGGTCAGGTCTGGTTTACAATGGTCCAGTCTGATTCAGGTCAGTTTACAATGGTCCAGACTGGTTCAGGTCTAGTTTACAATGGTCCAGACTGATTCAGGTCTAGTTTACAATGGCCCAGACTGGTTCAGGTCCGGTTTACGATGGTCCAGACTGGTTCAGGTCAGTTTACGATGGTCCAGACTGGTTCAGGTCAGATTACAGTGGTCCAGACCGGTTCAGGTCTGGCTTTAAATGGTCCAGACTGGTTCAGGTCTGGCTTTAAATGGTCTAGTCTGGTTAAAGTCCAGTTTAGAATGGTCCAGTCTGGAAGTTAGAACTAAATCCAGATGATACTCAGCTGGTAACCAGTCCTGGTCTTCAGAAACTAGATCAGTTAGCACCTAATGATGTTCTCCATCAGCTCCTGATTGTGTTCTGAACAGAAATAAGAACCAGGATCTAATCAATCCTGTGCATCTGGGGTTCCGGTTGAATCAAACTTTGTGAAATCAACCTGCAGGAGAAACAATCTCAGAGGAGGAAATGAGCTGGAGTCAATTCTTCTTTGTTTTTGTTTACCTGTTGAGGATTTTGTTACAGTAGATGTGACTGATGATCAGACTTTCCAGAGATCATTTGTCAGAGACAAACAGAAACTCAAAGTTCCCACGCTGTGTGAGACACTTCAGTTACATGTAGGAACTTTGACCTTCAGTCTGATTGGACAATGGTACAAATCAACCATGGAGGATCCAGGAAAGATGAAGAAACCTGGAGTTCTCAGGAGATGGAGAACACTTGAGTTCCCTTGAAAGATGGAGAACCCTGGAGTTCCTTTGAAAGATGGAGAACCCTGGATTTCCCAGGAGCAACGGTGAACCCTGGAGTTCCCTTGGAAGATAGAGAACCCTGGAGTTCCATTGCAACATGGAAAACCCTGGAGTTCTCAGGAGAGATGGAGAACCCTGGTGTTCTCAGGAAAGATGGAGAACCCTGGAGTTCCCTTGAAACATGGAGAACCCTGGAGTTCCCAGAGGAGATGGAGAACCCTGGAGTTCCCTTAAAAATGGAGAACCCTAGTGTTCTCTTGAAAGATGGAGAACATTCAAGTTCCCAGGAAAGACTGAAAACCCTGGAGTTCCCTTGAAAGATGTTGAACCCTGGAATTCCCAGGAGATATGGAGAACCCTGGTATTCCCTTGAAAGATGGAGAACACTTGATTACCCAGGATAGATGGAGAACCACAGAGTTCCCAGGAGAGAAGAAGAACCCTGGAGTTCTCTTGACACATGTGGAACCCTGGAGTTTCCAGGAGAGTTGCAGAACCCTGGAGTTCGCAGGAAAGATGGAGAACTCTGGATTTCTCAGGAGAAATGGAGGACCCTGTAGTTCCCTTGAAAGAAGGCGAACGCTGTAGTACCCTTGAAAGATGGAGAACCCTGGTGTTCCCTTGAAACATGGAGAACTCTGGAGTTACCAGCAGAGATGGAGAACCCTGGCATTCCCAGGAGAGATGGAGAACCCTGGAGTTCCCAGGAGAGATGGAGAACTGTGGATTCTTTTGAAAGATGGAGAACACTTGATTACCCAGGATAGATGGAGAACCACGGAGTTCCCAGGAGAGAAGAAGAACCCTGGAGTTCCCTTGACACATGTGGAACCCTGGAGTTTCCATGAGAGATGGAGAACCCTGGAGTTCCCATTAAAGATGGAGAACCCTGGAGTTCCCATTTGAGATGGAGAACCCTGGAGTTCCCATTTGAGATGGAGAACCCTGGAGTTCCCATTTGAGATGGTGAACCCTGGAGTTCTTTTGAAAGATGGAGAACCTTAGAGTTCCCAGGCGAGATGGAGAACCCTGGAGTTCCCAGGATAAATGGAGAACCATGGAGTTACCAGGAGAGATGAAGAACCCTGGAGTTCTTTGGAGAGATGGAGAACCCTGAACATCTTTTGAAAGATGGAGAACCCTGGTGTTTCCTTGAAAGATGGATAACCCTGGAGTTCCCTTGACACATGTAGAACCCTGGAGTTCCCAGTAGAGCTGGAGAAACCTGGAGGTCCCTTGAAACATGGAGAACTCTGGAGGTCTCAGGAGAGATGGAGAACCCTGGCATTCCCAGGAGAGGTGGAGAACCCTGGAGTTCCCAAGAGAGATGGAGAACCCTGGACTTCTTTTGAAAGATGGAGAACCCTGGACTTCTTTTGAAAGATGGAGAACCCTGGTGTTCCCTTGAAAGATGGAGAATCCTGGTGTTCCCTTGAAAGATGGAGAACCCTGGAGTTTCCTTGAAAGATGGAGAACCCTGGAGGTCTCAGGAGATATGGAGAACCCTGGAGTTCCCAGGAAAAGTGGAGAACCTTGGAGTTCCCTTGACAGATGGAGAACCCTGGAGACCACCATCCCTTCTGCAGGTAAGAACACTGGGTTAGCCACACTGCTAGTAGGAGGCTGTTTTTCATCTAGACCATGAAGGCACAACAATGGAAATATGAACATTGCGTGCAGATGGGGTTACCTGTCAGGGTGTGTGGGCTTGAAAACAATTAGAAACAATAGAGCCTCACCTGCTCAGGTGTGTTTGCAGGAGCAGTCAGACAGGTTCTGTCAACTTAAGGCCAATGAGATTTGCCATAACCACAAGCAGTTCTGGATTCCATGAGGTGAGCTGAGCTAACAAGTTTTACCTGCAGCAGACAGGTGAGCTCACCTGTGTGTGTGTGTGTGTGTGTGTGTGTGTGTGTGTGTGTGTGTGTGTGTGTGTGTGTGT